TGGTGCAGCGGTGTTTGGCTGTGGCAGTGGTGACGAGATGGAGATAAGGTTCTAACAGTTTGGCTGTGGCATTGGTGGTGCAGTGGTGGTCACCGGCGTTGGAGGAGAGAAACCGGCGAGATGAGATAAGGAAGATGCAGATTGATTTGTGTGTATGAACAGTAACTCTATTTCCCGTGTTTTCAATTTTGAGATGATTTGCTGGAAAACACCCAAAAAGGCCGGCCGTTTTGCATTTTCAGTGTAAAAAAAATTTTCGTTTTCAAAAACGCATTCTCGGAAATAGTAAAGAAAACACATTTTCACCGTTTTGAAAAATCGAAAACAGAAAATGACTCGAAAACGGCAAAGAGAACGGCACCTTAGTTTTTGACATGTCTCCCTCACATACATGCTGAATTCTGATACATGGTTTATAATCCTCGATAGCATTACCATTGTAAATTGTTAACTAATAATCTTTCTTGAAGTACTAGAATTATATGTATAATCTAATAACAAGATCCAATACTTTTTGGCTTTCGACAGCAAACAACACAGTTAGATTTACAGCCATAATTCTCGTCTTGACTGTTATAGGAGTAAGTTGTTCAAATTCATTTTTCATTATAAAGTTAGATTGGTTTTCCACTTAACAAGATATCTTTTCCACATCCACCAAAACAACCAAGGGGGGGCCCCTTCTTGTTTCTAACAATTTGTACAAAAGAATATTTGTCACTTAAGATTTGAATAGCCCATTTCTTTTGACTTCCTCTTACTTCTGGTTTCATCAAGGGATGCCTTGAATTCCAAGTTCTCAATTTCCAAATCCATCCTTGCATTCTCTTTATCCTTTCCTTCCAAACTGAAAAATGTTTAGTCTCTGGTAAATTTGAAATCAACTACACGAATCCTTCTTTTTTATTCATTGTTGTTGGTTGCTAGATGTAATAAGATATCTGAAGCAACTAGATCGTTAGCAATTACGACAAGCAAAAGCACATGAAAAATAGGTCAATCCAAGATAAATGCACATTAAAGTAGATCATGAGCCCACATGATAAAAGTTTCCTTTTGGATTACTACTTTTAATTCAAACTGCTTTTCTTGTTCTCATTTTATGGTTGCAACCAACCAATTATGAGAAATGTCAGTACTAACAATCAATTCCATGCTGGTACTCTTTACCAATTAGATTGGAAAGTATCACTAACTATTTTTGATAAAGAATATCCATCATATTTTAATGGCAAACTAAAGTAGAGGCAATTGATGAATGCTCGATTTCTCAATGGCACGAAGAGAAGTTTTACACTGCACGTTGCAAGCCCTTTTTGTGGCTATGGCATTGGCCTCTTTGTATGGAGTAATATGTGTAAGTTGTGAAAATGAGTACATATCAGCAGTTGGAGATCCGGGGATGAGACTGGATGGACTAAGATTGGCAATAGAAGCATGGAATCAGTGCAATGAGGTAGGAGAAGAAACTCCAAATATGGGTAGTCCAAGAGCTGCAGATTGCTACGACATATATAAAGCTTCTCCTCAACAAGGTGAGTTTTCATTTTTCTTTTCAATTTCTCTAATCATTGACATTGTTTATTTTCTTTTCGACTCTTGTGGGAGAACTAGTTATGTTTGATGTTTTAAGAGCACGCCGAATTAGTCTTTATATGACAATTGATATACCGCACACTTAAATATCTGTAATTTAATTATTAACACACCTTTTTAGTGTAGAAAATTTAAAGATTAGAGCGCTTTTGTATCAATATGCATTACATCGCGTCTCAGCCAATGCAACTTCATAGTAAAGAAATTTTTTTTTTCTTCATACATGAAATTCACGAATTTTTCAAAATCTCCTAGCTCAACTTTTTGGTATTTTCTGCAGGGGAAAACCGGTGTTCGCTTTGCAATTCAATGCCATACATGCTTGTCCATAGAGTTACAGAAGAAGAAAACCGGCTTGGACTAGGACAACCTTTTCTTGGAGGACAACAAGAGGCATTTGACAATGTAGACCGCTATGCTGCAGAAAAAGAACTCTATCTGGGAAATAAATGTCAAGTTGAAGATACACCAAACCCTTGGCAATTTTGGATGATCATGCTTAAGAATGGTAATATGGACACTTATGCGGCAAAATGCCCGAATAACGGCCTTAAAGTTGGCCCTTACGGTCCTGATAGCCGGTTCCCATGTTTTGGGAAAGGTTGCATGAATCAACCATTGATTTATCACAACTACACTACATTAGAAGGGCCTAAGCTTAAGGGATCATTTTACGGGTCGTGGAATTTGGACGTTGAGTCGAATGAAAATATTTCGTATTATTCAGTAACATGGGAGAAGGAACTTGGAAAAGGAAGCTGGATTTTTCACCATGTTTTGAGGACTTCCGTGAAGTATCCATGGTTGATGCTTTACTTTAGAGCAGATGCCACAACTGGATTTTCTGGTGGTTACCATTATTCCACTAGGGGAATGTTAAAAATTGTAAGTAAATTCTTCTCTTCTTGGGTGATTTAGTTATTTTGTATCAATTTTTTGCGCACTTTTACAACATCTTTGATTTGCATTACTTCGTCAAAATCCAAGATATCAACTTGAAATGACAGAATGAAGAATTGAACAAACTTTCACAGAACTCCCTTTTATATTTGATGGATTTTCAGTTATTTTTACAAAATTCCCATTTTTAATATTTTTGTAAAAGATCATACTTTCGGAAGGTGTGCTATAGAGCCTAATTATACTTTTCAATTATCCCTCGACCGCAAAAGATCTATTAAGCATTCATTTATCCGATCTACCACTGATAGACCTATTGTAGGGATATATTAGATATACATATTTCTATATTAGCCCATCCCTAGCTTCCTATATAAATGAAGGGATCTCAAGGGTCCCGTCTTTCTTCTAGATTAGATAGAGAGGTGGTTCTGGCAGATAACACATTTTTATGCAGATTCCAGAATCACCAAATTTCAAAGTGAAATTCACATTAAATGTGATAAGAGGAGGTGGTTCTGGCAGCCAATTTTACTTGTTGGACATAGGGAGCTGCTGGAAAAACAATGGCCAACCATGCGATGGTGATGTTACTTCAGACGTAACTCGATATAGTGAAATGATACTTAATCCAGACACACCATCTTGGTGCAATCCAAACGATGCCAAATTGTGTCCCCCATACCACACGTTTCCTAATGGGATTCGAGTTCATCGAAACGACACTGCTCGTTTCCCATACGAGGCGTATCACATGTATTGTTCACCGGGTAACGCAGAATTCGCCGAGAGTCCTAATATCGTGTGCGATCCGTATAGTAATCCTCAGCCTCAGGAGATACTGCAAATTTTGCCACACCCTGTATGGGGTGATTATGGATACCCAACAAGGAAAGGGGATGGATGGATAGGTGATCCAAGAACGTGGGAGCTCGACGTTGGGAGGCTATCGCAATCCCTTTATTTCTACCAGGTTTTAGACTAACTTTTTTCAGTTTTATAAGGTAAATTAGATAATACCCAATAGTGCAATTGACTAGATTATTTGGTTTGCAGGATCCAGGGACACCTCCAGCTAGGAGGCAGTGGACATCTGTAGACTTGGGGACTGAAATTTATAAAGACCCCAATCAAGTGGCAGAATGGACCGTTAGTGATTTTAACATCCTTGTCCCCAAAAAATATTAGAACAGTGGTAAAAATTAAGGATTTAACCCTAGGATATTTACGAAATGTCTATAATCTTTTGTAGCTTCGTGCTTCTAAGTTTTGTAGTACGAAGAATTTTAAAGACCGTAAAAGTATTAAATGTTGCACCTACAAACCTACATTTGCCAAATATATTAGAATAATGCAATCTCAAGCAAATTTTAATTGATTTCAAGGAGGTTTTGCCATATATTATTGCTAACATGTAATTTTTCACGAAATATGATGGTATTTGATTGGATGCGATTGAGAGACATTGATATTTGTGTCGGGAAAAAAATTTAAACAACGCCAACAGAAACGAGCTGCAAATGCTTTTTACCTTATAAAGCCGATACTTTCAAACAACTCCAACAATTTTTTTTGATAAATGCCGCCCATTTTCCAAACAATGAGCACTAAGTATCACGAATGAAAGATTGGGGATGAAAGTGAAAATAAAACTACAGATTGGAAACCTTGGCTGCTATTACCGGAAAATTGACATAGGCCGGACATGTTTTATTGGACCTTGCTTACACAAGAACATGGGCTTGTCAAACCCAATTCACTTTTAAGTTTTAAATCTTTGCGGTACAAAACATTTGGTACAACACTGTATACCTCTATATGAATGTCGTAGCTATGATCCTTCAAATTATATTCGAGCCGAGTGGCGGAGTTAGCACCTGACGAGGTGGTCCGGTCGCCTATGTCGACTCTACTGAAGTTGAATTTTTAGTGGAGTTTGTGAAGCTGTCGGCGCCATGGATGGTTTTGAAGGAGGAATCACCGAGGAAAGTCAAGCCAAGGGGGAAGAAGGTAAAACGTTGGGTCTTTTTTAATTTTGTTGGGCCATTTTTTTTAAATGTTGGGCTTTTCAGTTTTGAATTGGTTTCAGGCTTGTAGTTAAAAGGGAAAAATTCACAAGTCAGACTTTATCTATCCCAAAATAAAAAAATCAGGCCCCAAGATTTATAATTGCAAAAATCATGTTTTTCATGAATTAATTAATTATATTTCACAATTATTATATTAAATTAAATATTTAACTGTAATATAATATAATTAACCCACCCCACCCCACCTCCATCACCACCACCGCTACTCCGGTGACTGATATACGGCTGCGCTTAATTTTTTTATCTACCTCAAAATAAAAAATCAAGCCCCAAAATTTAGAATTACAAAAATCAGGTTTTTCATGAATTAATTAATTATATTTCACAATTATTATATTAAATTAAATATTTAATTTTAATATAATAAAATTAACCTACCCCCACCTCACCTCACCTCCACATCTGCTCCAGTGACTACTCTGGTGACCGGCGACCACTCCGGCGATTGATTTTCGGTCACGGTTCAAAAATTTTGTAGGTCACGAATTAATTCGTTGGTCACAGATTTCAAAATTAGTGGTCACAAATAAAAAATTTTAGGTCACATGGTCACAGATTTTCAAATTAGTTGGTCACAGATTTTTTCACAGTTACAGATTATATAATTTTTAGGTCACAGATAACAAAATAGTTGATCACAGATTATATTTTTAGTCAGAGATTGACGAATTTTAAGGTCACAGATTACTTTTTAGACATAGAAAACCAAAATCGCAAGATCCAACACTACCACCACTTCTGCACTGTCGCCATGACCACTACCACTGCCTCCACGACAACCACCACGACCAACATCACCACTACCCAAACACCACCGCTACCGCCGTCATCATTTTTGCAACACCACCATCACCACAACGCACAGCAACACCACACACATACCACTAGTCACCACCGCCAAAACAATACCACCAGTTAATCTACTGCGGATTTTCACGGAAATTCTTCAAAAACTTTAAAATAGCCGCATTCACATCTTGAACACTGATGTTAGTGCCCCAAACATACATTAGCGGGGCCTTATCTATATCATCTCCATCACCAGCATCAGAAGAAGGTGGAGCATCATCCGTGGACGAAGGTGTGGCTGCAGTCGTTGGAGTGGTGGAGGATCTTCTACCTCGGCCCCGACCCCGGTGAGAATTTGTTTACTTTAAACCTGAGTGCTTCCTCTACGTTTGATTCCATCTAAAAGTTCAGAAATCAAACCCAAATTCATGAATGTAAACTACAAACAGCATACAATTGGTAAAAGCCCGAGATCTATACTCAACATAGCCATGGTTATATACGACCTTAAAATTCAATGGTGGCGACGGAGGTGTAGCATAAGAAGATCAAGGGTGGCGAATCGGGAATCCAACTAATCTGTGTAAACCATCAAGGGTGACGAATCCGGAATCCGATGGTGGCGACGGAAGTGTAGCATAAGAAGATCGAAGGCCACGTTTTGGTGCTTGGAATCTCCAGGAGAGGAAAATGTATTGCCTATTGGGGGAAACGAGGTGGGAGAGGGGATTGATAAATTAGGGTTTTAATATAGCACCTGATTTTTGCAAAAATAAATTTCAAACCTGATTTTTTAAAAGTTATACCTGATTTTTAAAAAGGTCAAAGTAAACCCCTGATTTTATGTAATTTTCCCTAGTTAAAAAAAAAAACCCAATAAGAATTATACATTTATAGATTTCAAAAACCACCAAAAAATCAAAACAGTCCCCCCACCTAGAGCCTCTGCCCTCGACCGTGACAGCAACACGACTCCTTTGGCCGCTGCAACAGCTTGCATTGGTGGCAGCCACTCGGCCTTCGGTCCCTCTGTAGTTCAGCCGCCTTCTATCGACAAGACTTTAGGCGAGTCGGTGACTATTATTTTATTTATTTTTTATTGATTTTTGTTGTTTTAAGCATTTTTGTGCTTTAATAATTTGACTAACATTCAATTCTAATATAGATTATTGAGCGATTTTCCCAACTTAAACAAAAGCCCCAACCTAGTTGGTGCATCCACCATTGCTTCTAGTCGAGCAAATAATTTGTTAATCACTAATAACACAAAGAAGTCTCATGTATCATGTATTTTATATTATTATTTCGAATTGCATTGAACTGTATTTTGATGTAAATATATGATTTTTACGTTTTAGTGTATTTCAATATAGGTTAAAGAATTTTTAATATTATTTAACTTAAACGACATCTCTATAAGGCCGTTGACCGACCGCCCTATCTGAGTCGAAGTTCTGGATCTGCCCCTGTTCGAGCCTATGTTCGAAAAGAAAAGGGGGAAAAAAAAAAAAGCCACCTCCCGTTGAAAAGAATGCATGCCAAGTTCAAAGTAGGCTGATGAGCTAGCCCCCTCCTATCGCAATCAAAGGATATTGCCCCATGGCCAACTCATAGACTATATGTTGTACACGCTTAGAAATGCGGTTTTTTTCTTCGTATGGGCCATAACATTGTATTTGATCTTATTAGGAGAAGCTCTTTGGATAGAATCCTTTTAATATGGCATGCAAGTATAAATGGACATTCAATTTTGGCTGCTTAGAGTTTAACCATGAACAAATAACAATGATGTTGCACCTAACCCATGGAAGACTAATCTTCCTTTTTCTAAAGGTTCTTCTTCAGGTTTGCATCCTTTCCACAAAAATCGTTCACTAGACTATCAAGTCAAAGTTTATGAGTGATATTTTACATGGCACCACTGTACTTATAGGCAAAAAGGCACTGTTCATTTTCATTCGTGCTGATTTATCTACACAATGTTACAAATCTATAGTTATGTTTCGACGTTTGATCAATCAATTCTTTCCTTTATAGTTAACAAACACTTTAGGTAGATAGTGTAATTTATAGTATTAAGGAAAGAAAAGTCAACTCTCTATTAGATAGAAGATGTTGCAGTGGTGGATCTAAGATTTCCACAATGGGGAATAAAAAAGAATCGTGCTACTTGTACAATGGGGGAAGGGGTGGTTTCGTTGAGATTTGACCTCACTTGGCTTTTCCACCGGTCTCACTTTGAACTGAAAACCAAATATTTTAATTCTCTGGTTTGATATTGAAATCGAAAACTTGATCCATGTCCACTTTTCATTTTTAAATAAAATATGAACTTAATATATTTCAATATAAATGATGTCAAATTCCATTTTTCTCTTTAATAAAGTGTTGGATCATACTCCCACCCCTTTTTTAGAAGTGTATTATCATATGGTTCATGCATTTAGGATCACAGCCTCCACAATCTTGAAAATAGGTAGATAGATATGTACGACACATTTAAATATAATTTCATCATGTGAAATGTATAAAATCTTTGAGTCAAAAGAATTTAGTAAAATGTCCCAACAACCTTAAAAAAGTATCTGCTTGACTTGCAATTTTCAACAATCTCGTGTTCTAAAGAAAAATCTTTTTAAAAAAATTATAAAAATATTCTACTTTTCAACGATACACAAATATTCGATACTTTAAAAAAAAAAAATCTTGTTTTGTGGGTTCAGAAAATGATGGAAAGAAAAATATATTCGAGTTAGGCAGCTTAAGAAAATAATGGAGACTGTGACAAGCTAGCACTAACGAATATTCATATTACCCTACCATGCACGTTGTTGACGAGCCATTTATCTCTCATTATTTCTTGTTTTCTTGATTATTCTCGTGGTTTTTATCGTCTCACAATGTTCATCTCTCCAAATGTGTGATTGACTTTGGTTGTCAAATTCGTATATAATATTCGAAGTTAGCCGTGTTGATATAATGGTGTCGAATGGAAGATATTGTTTTATCTTTACTAGTTTGAAATTGGATCCTAACTAAGGCCGGACCTTGAAACTAGGAAAATTTACAAAGTTACAACTAACTCGACAAAGAAAATTAAAAAAGAGGTCAAGAAAGTTGGACATAGAGATCGAGTCGACCAGTCGACCGTTAATTTAGTTTTCATACATGTGATGATGATAACGCTGCAATGTGGGACATATGGAATTTTTTTGCTTTTTGATTTATTCATCTAAAGTAGTCAATTTTCACTTCTTTCAAACTGTACAAATATTCATCCTTCAAAGTTCATAGCCTCTCAGATTAATTTGCAGCCAGTTCAAGTTTCTGTAATTTGTTATACACACAATGCCCAGCTTTTCTTATCAAAAAATATTAAGCTCCTACATGTTAATTGTAATGCTTGTTTTACTGACAAGTGGAGGTGAATCTTGGGCTCGAATCCACCCGGCTCCAGCACAAGTCGAAGATGGTGGTTCTGAGGTTGAGAAAGTGGCTAACTCGGTAGTGGTCGATGGACAAATTAGAGGGTTTCGTAAGGTGGATAATAATCATATCTTCGCCAAACGCGGTGCTCCGCTGTCGGGTCCAAGCCGGAAGGGGCATAAACACGATAAGATATCTTCTCAAGGAAAATGATAATCTGTAGAATGCCTATGGATATTTCATAGATCATTAGTTTTGACTTTTTATTTTTGTTCATTTGATGCTATCTTTTCTTTTAAAAAACGATTTTGAGTTAAATTCAATATATTTTTTCCATAGAATGACTCTTTTCTAGACGAAAGAAATACTTGTTATTTGATCATTTTGGAGACTTATATTTCATGATAAAGAAAAAAATTAGCTAATGTTATCTCGATTTTCCTTAGCCAAACTGGCTACCTAGTGGTATCAAAATAGATCAAGTTGTCCTCTACCAAAGTTGTTCATCTAGCAAAAGTGTGAGTATTGGTCCTCCTAACACTA